GCAGGAACGTAGCTTTGTTACTGCTTGAGACAAAACCTGTCATAGCTGGGTCAAAGTGTTTCCTGATTAATAACAGCCCCCCTGGCTCGGAAGGTCCTGGGAGGCAGGTTTGAGAGGGAGCTTGGATTGCAGGTGCTGGTCAGCTTTGCTGGAGCAGATGGAGGAGGTGGTTGGAGAAAGAACCCCCCTCCAAGGAATCATGCTGGACTTGACCCTTATCCTGCTCTTTTCTGCCTGCACAAATGGGCTACTGACCTCCCTCCAGCCCCACAGCATGCCCAGAACTGCTGCTTTGGGTCTTACCTTGTTAAATAAACCTGGGTAAGAAAAGTTTGGGAAGGCTGAAGGAATCCAGCATTACTAACAGGCACCGATGAACGTGAACTTGTTTCAGAGGTGGCTGGAGAAGGCCACCAGCCTGGGGCAGACCCCAGCTTCCCCACGTTGAAGAGCACCTTATACCATAAGAGATCCTCCAGAAAGCCCTCCAGGTGGGAAGTGTTCCCTTCCCATATCAACCAGTGCTCCATCACAATGTTATTATCCACAGTTATGAACAAGGTCTGTACCATTCCAGGGCCTCCCACTTGGCTCTTCCAATGAGGAGCCACCAGCATCTTCCCCACAACATTCCACAAGCCACCAACCTGCCATGGCACAGGCAGTGCTGGAGCCAAGAGGACAACCAGCAGTGGCAGAGAACACAACAGCAGGACAAGAAACACTTCCCACACTTTGTGAGGCACTGAATCTTCAACTTCATAACAACACAACTGATTTTAAAACATCACTGTTATTATTTAGGGTGTTAGCAAAACATCCAAAAACTTAACCCAGTTTTGATGTTTGCTTTTTTTTAAAGCCAGGCTTTTTCTTAACCTTTTTTTCCAGTCTTTTCTTTTAAAGGCCTTTTTTATTCTTTCTCCTTCACTTGGCAAAGGCTAGACAGAGATCACTTAAACTAAAAGAAAAATGGCTTGTTTTATGAGATGGCTTTAATGTGTGAGTGCAGCTGAGCAAGGGCAACTCTCTGCAGCTCAAGCAGGGTGTTATAAGACACAGCCTGACCTGCACCTCCCCTGGAACCAGCACCAGCTGAACTGATTTTTAAATACTCTCATTTAGTTGGGAACAGCTACGGAACAAACCGCAGGGGAGCAGCACCTCTCCTTCCTGGAGGAACATCACTCATCTGCTGGCTTGAGGTCTCCTAATGAACCCTTTTTCCCCAGCTGCACTTCACAGCTCCCCCCATCACGGTTTTGTGCACCCTGGACTAGTGGTTCCCTGCTCATAGCAGGGGGGTTGGAACCGGATGATCTTTAGGGTCCCTTCCAGCCTTAATGATTCTATGACCTCTACCTGGCCCTTAGATGCCAGCAAGGGGCCGTGGGTCAGGGCAGGGCAGGGCTCACCTGTGGCCGGGGGTGGCCGGTGACCAGGCAGGTCAGCTCCAGCGTCTCGCCCTCGCGGATGGTGTAGACCCTCTCGGAGTAGCGGAACCGGATGATGTTGCACGCCAGGCCCGAGTGCACGATCCGCACCGTGGGGGGGGCTGCAAGACCCAGAGAGACAAACCAGGTGAGCACCACGACCTGGCCCACAGCCCTTCCCCAGGGCAGCAGCCCGGGATGCTGGTGCAGCCCCGAGCCGGGAGCCGCGCTGCTCCCGCCGCGGGGAACGCTCTGCCACTCGCAACACACACACGCGCTCGGCACCAGAAGAGGTTGCCACGGGGTTTGTGAACATCTAAACACCACCTCTGCAGGCTCCGCCCTGGGCAGATCCCACCTGGAATGCTGTGTACAGTTCTGGTGACCTCAGCAAAAGAAAGATATCAACCTGTTGGAGGGTCCAGACAAGGGTCACCAAGGTGATGCCAGGGCTGGAGCAGCTCTGCTCTGGGGACAGGCTGGGAGAGTTGGGGTGTTCAGCCTGGAGAAGAGAAGGCTCCAGGGAGACCTTTGAACACCTTCCAGTGCCTGAAGGGGCTCCAGGAAAGCTGGGGAGGGGCTTTTCATCAGAGAAGACAGTGGTAGGACAAGGGGTGATGGTTTTAAACTGAGAAAGGGGAGATTTAGGTGAGATATTAGGAAGAAATTCTTCACTACAAGGGTGGTGAGGAACTGGGATGGGTTGCCCAGGGAGGTTGTTGATGCCCCATCTCTGGAGGTTTTAAGGCCAGGTTGGAGGAGGGTTTGTGCAGCCCGGTCTAGTGTTTGGGTTCCCTGCTCACGACAGAGGGTTGGAACTTGATCTTTAAGGTCCCTTCCAGCCTTAATGATTCTATAATTCATTTGCATTCCAGCTATTTTTGTTTCAATTTCCAAACGAGCCCTGCATTATTGTTCTTTTTTTATTACATATCTTCCTAAATTTACTCTCACACTCATTATGCAAATGAGAAGCCTTAATTAAACCATTACAATTAAGCAGGAGAAACAGTGGGACTGATACTGCTTCCCTGTTGCTGTCAGAAGGATCAGGGTTTGGACCAGAGGTTCAGCTCAAGCAGAACCTTCAATTTTCTTGTACATGTAACTTGAGCTACAGGACGTGACGCTGTTTTACACGTTGTACCTGCAGGAAAATGCCAACGTTGTTGCTAACATCACCTGTACCAATTACATCTCTTGTGGCCAGTCTCCAAAGCACATTCCTGGCTCTACAATCACCTTTGCTTCTGAGTCACAACGTTCACAGCTACCAACATTTTCAGAGAGCGGATCGATGGGGTAAGGAAGTTGGGTTACAGTCCTACTGACAGATGAAGTAATGTCAGCTAAACAGCAGGAGAGACAAAATGTAATTCTGGTGACTTTTAAAGCCCCAGTATTTCACTCTCTCTGCTCTGCAGTGCACTGCTCCTCTTCACTAGAGGTGGATAAGCCTCCAAGTCCTAACTGAAGCCTTAAAGCACAACCAGCAAGTGGAACTATTGGAGCTGAGCCCAACAGGACTCAAGGAAATTGGGATCCCAGCCTTGTTTTCCAAGGACCAGAGGCCCATACTGCTGGGATGGCATCCGTGGGCTCTTCCTGGGTCCCTTGCAATAGCTGTACCCCCCCCTGCCCCGAGCCTGCAGCTCTCATCTGTGGGGCTCTGGGCTGCACATTGTCCCCCACTCCCACCAGTCTGCTGGTTCTCCAACCCACCATTCCTCTGCTGACACCCACGTGGGATGCCTGGTGTGCATCACCCCAGCACCCCTGCTGACCCCCTCCCCTTGCCACCACTGGTCCCAGCAGACACAGCCCCGTGTTCCCAGCTGCTGCACAATGCCCAGGCTTGATACCAGCCTGCTAATGATTCAAATCCAGAATCATTTCTGACCCTTGCTCTCCAGAGGCAAAGAAAATGAGACTCAAGCAAAGGATCCTGAGCAGGACAGTGTCAGGTCAACTACATGAACAGGAAGAGAATAATTATTTCAGGCTGTAATGACTAAGCCTGATACTCCCAGCTACCTTGCATTGCCCCCATTCACCTCGGCCTGCTATATTTAGACCATTTTTCAATGTGCTCAGCATAGGTGAACCTCTTTAGCAGGTTTTAAGAAACCTGTCCTTGGTGGCACCTCCCTGCACCAGGGACAGGCTGAAGAGCCTGTGCAGGGAAGGGTGTTTGCTGTATCACTGGTGTGCTCACAAGTCTAACAGTACAAGCTGACAGGTCTGGAAGACCATAAGACCAGCAGAGACAACACCTTAGCAGGGCCACTCAACACTTCTGGCATAAGAGCCAAAAGCCCTCCTGCCACAGGCAGGGCTGGCCCAGCAGCTCTAGCTGTGACCATGGCAGCAAGCTCCTGTAGATACTCCAGCCAGCTCTGCTCCTGGAGCCACCACACACCAAAAACCCACCAGCTCATCCTCTCCATGCTCCTGCAGGCAGCCCGTTTAGCAAAGGTGAAAACAGGTTCAAGACCAACTTGTGGCTGCTCTTGGCAGCTTTGTGAGCCCAGGAAAAATTGTTCTTCAGCATCAGTTATTTCCAACACAATGACTGAACATAGACACGATGCTCAGCCTGTGGACAGCTTTAGTCAGACAAGTACAACCACCTGCCTCCTTACACAGGATCTGCCTCAGCTTTGCTTTCCTGCTGCTCAGGGGCCTGTTCTGCAGCCCCAGCAGCCTCCCTGTACAACATGGCTGGTGCTTTGCCAGCCTAGAGGTGCCATTTACTGCTTCAAAGAAAGAAATTAAACTTATTCATCCCTGGTACCATCTTCTCAGGCTGCTCTTCCTGTGGAGCTCACTGTCCCTCCTGCAAGGACAGAGATGTACCCCATGTGTAACACTCTGATCTTAAAAGAATCTATTGATTTCTAACTATTATTATTACTATTTCTAAGTAGAACAGCAGCTCTGCACACCCCCTTCACTGAGCAGGGAAAGCTGCTCCCCCTTCCCTCTCCTCAGGAGCTCCCTGTCCTGGGACATGGAGCATCCTCCTTGGTCTGCCACACACAGCCCTGGTGCAACAGGGCCCTGGGCCACCACTGGGGCTTTCTCCAGCCCCCCAAACACAAATCACATGGAATGCTAAAGCAGAGCCACAGAGCAGAAAGGTAAAAGAAGGTTCAGCATAGATCATGAGACTTGTGATAAAATTAGAGGAGTCAGCAACATCATGCCAACATTCTGCTGCCTTTTAAATCTCTATTACATTAATATTACATTTTCATTCATATTATATTCACATAACTTCAGATTACATTTGAAGTGTCCTTCATTTTAGTGTCTATGCCTTGGTATCCATTAGGTTTGGGAGGGTAATACAGAAAAGAAAAAATACCCCCTTGTGTATAGTTGAGGCAAAAGAACCCACTGCTGTAAGAGATGATCAAATGAATACAGAAAATAAAAATATTCTTATTACTTCAAGTTTTAAATTCTTATGGTTCAGAAGACATTGCATAATTATGAAATGTCACCCCCCTCTCCACGGCAGGAATATTCATTACAGCTGCTCCTGAAATATGCCTCCAAGGACTTCATAGTAGACGAGGCATTAAAGTAATATATACTTGGCATTTATTTTGTTTGTGGCATTTTGGAAGAATTTGTCTTGTGATTACACACAGTCAGTGCTGCAGGAAGGGATCCATCATGGAGCTGTTCCCAGCAACACACACACACACCACGCCAGGGATGGGAAGTGTCAGAAGGAAAAGCCATAACAACAAACCCAGCAACAACCCTGCCTGGCTTCTTCTGCACTTTGATGGCACCACAAGATTTCTTCTTTCAGATGAAAAATGGAGCCAGCCCAACCTCTCACCAGACCTTGTTAGATTTTGACATTGCTGAGGTCCCCCTCAGTGGCTGCTCTTTTCCAGCAGCTCCAATTCATTTCCCTTCTCTGCCTCTTGCCCACACACAACCCCCCCCTACACAAACAATTTGGTTTCAGCTTGCAACATGTTCCCCAGACAATATAAATCTGGTGGGGGCAAGTCATAAAAATGCCTGTGAAGGCAAAATATAAATGCCCAGAGTTAAATATTGATGTGGGTATCTAGACAGACCTGAACAACAAAGGACAGATCAGGTGTTGTGAGGACTGCTGGCTGGCTTTGGAGGGAAACATGCAGAAGGCACCGTCCAACCTGACCTTGAGTGTTTCCAGGGATGGGGCACCTACCATCTCTGGGAAACCTGGGCCAGGGTTTCACCTCCCTCAGTATAATGATTTTCTTCCTTCTCCCCTCTCTCAGTTTAAAACCATCACCCCTTGTCCTATCACTGCCCTCTCTGGTGAGAAGCCCCTCCCCAACTTTCCTGGAGCCCCTTCAGGCACTGGAAGCTGCTCTAAGGTCTCCCTGGAGCCTTCTCTTCTCCAGGCTGAACACCCCACCTCTCCCAGCCTGGCTCTAGAGCAGAGCTGCTCCAGCCCTCCCAGCATCTTTGTGGCCTCCTCTGGGCTGGCCATAACAATAAACAAAACCCAGCAGTGTAATTAGTTGTAAGGGTCATCATCATCATCATCATCTATCTGTTCCAGCAGGATGGTTCCCTAACTCAATAGCTACTCTGCTGATAAGCTTTGCATTATAAAAATGAGCTCAGCCTGTGGGAGCACTGGGAGCAGGGAGCACTGGGAGCAGGGAGCACTGGGAGCAGCAGGTCACAAACCCCACGTTACCTGCAAGAAGATACTCCCAACACTGCACTGCTGAGAACTATTGCCACAAGGCTGTGCATCCATCATGGCAACACCACTGGGACTCCCAGTCACTCCAGTTTGAGCCCTGGGACAGGCTGCCCAGAGAGGGCATGGAATCTCCTTCTCTGGAGGCTTTCACGTCCTGTCTGGATGCCTTTCTGAGTGACCTGCCCTAGTTGTTTAGTCCCATTCTGACAGGGGGGTTGGACTTTGTGATCAGAGGTCCCTTCCAACCCCTAATTTGCAATTAGCAGAACTAAGAGCTGATAGGAGTGTGGGAAAACTTCACTCAGAGTTGCAAAAATAGGTGCAATTACTTTAAATCTTCTCTTTCTTAAATATATATATAAATAAAGCAAAGATTGGTCTGGAGAAGACTCATTTCTCCAGGGAGTTGTGAACACACCCAGGGATCTGTCCTCCAGGGATCTGCTGCAGGATTGGGATAAATGATTTCTTGGAGAAGGAGAAGCATGACCAATACATTCTACACTTTCCAGCAGAACCATTACTG